TTTGAACAGACATTTATTTGAGTTGTGTCTGTTTTCTTGCCATTAGGAGGATGCTACGACTATTTTGTTCATCTCCCCTGGTGTAGATGAGCAGGAGTGTTTCGAGAATGTGTACCGAGGAGAGGAAATGCCGTGTTCAAGGCTGTACATACCTGCAGTTTTGCCAGGCAATGCCAACTTGTTTCCAAAGTGGTTGTGCGGATTTGAATTCTTACTGAGAGTACATACCAATTCCTGTTGCCCAGCGCACTTGCCAACACTTGGGAGATTATCAGATTACATCCGGTCTCTAGTCTCTTAAACATAAAGTGGTGTCACTTTGGGATCCCTTTGCATTTCTATGATTACTGATGAGGTGGTTGTCACTGTTTTACATATTTGTTGATCCTTATGTTTTCTTATTCATGAAATGCTTGGGTATGCCTTTGGGTTGCTTAACTTTCTCATATTGATTCATTGGAGTTCTTTGTATATTTTATGTAATAGTTTTTTTTTGTTTTTTTTTTTTTTTTTTTTTGCAGTTTTTGGCCAGGGCTGGGTTTGAGGCTGCCACCTCCAGCATATGGGGCCGGCGCCCTACTCCTTTGAGCCACAGGTGCCACCCTCCATTTTCATTCTTAATAAGAGAAGCTCAAATGAAAGTACATTGAGATTCCAGTTTTCATCTGTCAGAATGGCAAGAAGCCACGTTTGGAAACGTATGAGTTGGTGAGGTTGTGTGGAAAGAGGCAGTCCTGTAGAAAGCAAAACATGTCTGTATCAAAACCACAGGTGCACATACCACTTCTGGGATCCACTTTGCTACAGATAATTCACATGTAAGTAAAATGATGCTATAAAGTACGCCCAAGGTATTCACTGCTGTTAATGGCTTGTTGGGAGACTGAGGCTAATTATTTGCTCTCTGAGCCTTGCTTAACTCATCTGTCAAACCAGATGACAGCCTCTAGCTTCACTTACCAAAAGGGCCAAGAGCCTTAAACCAAATCAAACACAATGCAAAAGAGCCTGACAAATGAAACTGTACCCACATGAACAGCTGTGATTATCAGGGAAAGGCTAGCAAGGAGGCTTTTAACCAAACCCTTAACATACTGGGCTGGAAGGTAGACCCTCCCTCTGGATCCACTGGGGGTAGCTCTGCATGACTCATTCTGGCAGCTCTGCCAAGAGGTGGGGTGGGGTGGTGAGCAATACTGACAGAGAGGCCCATTTCCTTCCTTCTCTCCTCTCAGCACTTGTTTTCTGCTTTTGGCAGCAGCGTGCTGTGGGACTCGTACAAGTATTCCTCACCCTCTCTGTGCTCTTTGACATAGTCAATACATTTTCTGCATAGCAATTGTGTACAAAAATAAATCAGCCCCTGGCCAGGCGTGGTGGCCTATGGTTGTAATCCTAGCACTCTTGAGATGCTGAGGTAAGAAGATTGCCTGAGGCCAAGAGTTTGAGCCTAGCCTGAGCAAGAGCAAGCCCCCACCTCTACTAAAAATAAAAAATCTATCTGGTCATCATAGCAGGTGCCTATACTCCCAGCTACTCGGGAGGCTGAGGCAAGAGTTTGTGGTTGCTGTAAGCAAACAAGGCACCATGGCACTCTACTCATCTCTCGAAAAAGAAAAAAATTAGCCATGCACGATGGCTAGTGCCTATAGTAGCTATAGTTCCAGCTATTTGGGAGGCTAACATAAGAGGATCACTTAAACCCAGGAGTTTGAGGTTGCTGTCAGCTGCGATGTCACGGTACTCTAGCCTGGATGACAGAGACAGATAACTTCCAGCCTGGTAAAACCTTCCTTTCCTTGAGATTCCAGTTTTCATATGTCAGAATGGCAAGAAGCCACATTTTTGGAAACATACTGAGTTGATGAGGCTGGAAAAAAAAAACAAAAATGACAGTCTCAAAAAAAAAGACAGTTCCTGAATAAAAGCGCTCACAGGCAGGTAGGTTAAAAGCCTTGACAAGTGAATAGAATATTACAATGCAGTGTGACACATGACAAAACAGACACATATACTGGTATGAAACGCAGTATGAAACACCAGTTGGCTGGGAGCACACTAAGGTCGGAAAGCTAAAGCCCAGTCTGACTCCAGTTGTACTTCTTTCCAGCTGTGGGACTCTGGGAAAGTTATTCCCCCCCCCCCCAGTTTTCTGAGAGCCTTGGTACCCTCAGGGGCAAAAGGAGCAGTGAGGATTCTGATTTCTTTGCAGGAAGTGCTTAGCATTGCATCTGGAGTCATCATTTAAGGTCTCTATATATGCTGTTTATATCATTGTTATGTATGAGGGCATCAGGAGAAAGCAGACAAGACACCATTTCTGCAGAGGAAAGTGTCAGAGACGGCTAGAGCAGATGAACTTAAGCAAGGCCTGCCATGCAGCAGAAGCCAGATAAACACTGAGGAGTTTGCTCTGTATTCAAGGAAAGGGTTTACTGGGCAGAAGGATCTGTGAGTACAGAGGTTTAGGGCTATGACATCGTGGCTCTACCTACAAACCAGTGTTACAGCTCATTTACTCCTATTCTTTTCTTTTTTTTTGAGACAGAGCCTCAAGCTGCCCTGGGTAGAGTGCTGTGACATCATAGCTCACAGCAACCTCCAACTCCTGGGCTCAAGAGATTCTCCTGCCTCCATCTCTCAAGTAGCTGGGACTACAGGCACCTGCCACAGTGCCCGGCTAGTTGCAGCCGTCATTGTTGTTTGGCGGGCCCGGGCTGGATTTGAACCTGCCAGCTCAGGTGTATGTGGCTGGCACAGCTGCTTGAACCACAGGTGCCGAGCCCACATATTTTTTTCAGTAGGTAGATACTCTGGGTGGGAAAATGCTTAATACTATTCAATGACAAACCAAGGTTGGACAGATGCCTCACCACACAGGTCTCCTTTGTGGGTGACTGTTATAAATATCTCCCGCAGCAATGTTGAGTCAGCATGGGAGACCTGAAATCTGAATGATGGAAACAATAATAAAGATAACATTTACTGAGTACTTTCTAGGTGCTAAGCACTGTTCAAGGTGCTCTACATGAATTCACTCTTACAAAAAAACCCACAAAGCAATACTTTTAATAGCTCCATTTTACAGATGAGGAAACCGAGGCTCAGCGAGGTGAAGTAATTTGCTTAGGACACACAGCTGTCAGAGCCAGGAATTCAAACTGAGGCAGTTCCAGACCC